GTCTGTGCGTGAGTTCGCTGTAGAGATGGGTCGCCGCGAGTCAGCCATCGATGTGTTGGTCAATAATGCGGGCGTTTTTATGTGTCCCGAATGGCAGACCGCAGACGGCTTTGAGATGCAGTTCGGCACTAATCACCTTGGTAAGTAATTTTCTTAAGCTTAAACTTCTATTTTTATTTATGTCTCATTATATTTGTTAAATTATGTGTTTTAGTTGTTTTGTTAAAATTATAAGCCATATTCATTTATATTGTTTTAATAAAACCTTTAACACGAATATAGACTGTAATTTAACTATATTTTTTAATTTATATAATTTATCAATATAAAATATTAATTTAATTGGACTCTATATAAGACTTGCTTGTTAGTGATTATTTTTATTAAATTTTTAGATTTAATTTTGTAATTTACTAATGTTTTAAATATAATTTAAGCAATAGAAAAAATAAGGGAGAGAGAAGAGAGGTGAGAGAGAGAGAGAGAGAGAGATATAATTGGTAAAGTGCAATTTAATATATTGAAATGTTTTTTATATTTAAATTAATTATTAATTACATAAAAAAATTAATAATTAAAACATAACTTTTAGTTTAATTTAGATTTTATTATATTTATTAAAATATGTCTCAATTCAGTTGTATTTTGTTAAAAATATAAAAAATAACGAATTTTAATGAAAGATGTTTCACTGACATAAACTGCAATTTAGCTATAACACTCTAATTAATATAATTTACCAGTATAACATGTTAATAATTTGGACTGAATCACGATTACGTTTTCAAATTTAATTTTATTTATTTAAAATATATTTAATTTTATAATAATCATGAAAAATAAGAAGAGAGAGAGAGAGAGAGAGAGAGAGAGAAAGAGAGAGAGAGAATACTTGTATTATATAACAATATTACTAAATTACAATTCCAAAAGCTCATGGTACAAATTGTTTACCCAAAAATTTTAGGCTCATTTCTATTAACACTACAATTGATGCCAATGTTAAAGAGGGCGCCGGCGGCCCGTGTGGTCAACCTTTCGTCCAGCGCACACATCAACGGTCAAATATACTTTGACAACATTAATCTCCGGGACGGGGCCTACACTCCCACCAAGGGTTACGGCCAGAGTAAACTGGCCAACATATTGTTCACCAGGGAGTTGGCCAAACGGCTGGGCCCGGCCAGTAGTGTACGCGTGTATGCCTTGAATCCCGGTGTTGTCCGTACGGACGCCCAAAGGCATGTGACTAACGCTGTGTTTGATTGGCTTATGAAACGCCTGTTTCTCACCCCCGAGATGGGCGTCCAGACATCCCTGTACTGCACCCTCGATGAAACTTTGGATAATGAATCGGGCTTTTATTATGAGTGAGTATTTACGTGTTTGATTGTACTTTATTATATTTAAATTTTTAACATTTATTTATTAAATTCTGCTATATCAATTTTACATGAGATATTCCTAGTTATGATTTATTTATTTAGGTAATAGCTTTTAAAAAAATTATTTATTATTTTGTAAAAATGCAAGCTTTCTAGCTGATACTTTAGTAAGCTGTAACTTAATTTTAATCTTATTTATAAAACTGTCAAAGTTACATATTTTAAATCATATTGGCTTCAAAGACTAAAAGATTAAATTTATTATTGTTAAAGTGATTTTTAAATAATTGCTACAGCGAGTTAATACTGTTCAATAATTTAATTATAAATGTTTATGACCATGATAGAAATTGCAAACGTGTGGACCATATGATACCCGAGGCTACCGATGATAAAGTGGCGGAACGTCTGTGGGATTTAAGCTGCGATTTGGTTGACCTGAGCGATGATCAGCGCCGGGTGTTTACCCGCACACCAATCACTGGCGCCTGGACTAAGTAAAATTTAGCATGGTGTTTTGATTTAATTTACCGTATGTATTATTGTTGTAAAATAATTAATATTTCATTTATTTTATCTTGTTTACATAAATTATTAATATTATTGTAGAATTATTTATTTAACTATTGTAATATTTTATTAATAATTATTTTTTTGGTACAATAAATGAATAATAAATTTCAAACTTAAAATTAAATAATTATTGTTTTAAAACAAACCGTAAATGAAATTATTTATAATCTGAAAGTACTACAAAAATAATTTTAAAATATATACCTATTTAACGTGCAAGAATGTATGCGCTAAAAAACATAGTAAATTATGTTTACATATTGTAATAAGTAAAATGGATGGCAGTTAGTGGTTGGTATGGTTGTTATCACTGGAAATTATGTAAATAATTTGCATTTACTGTCATTGAGATTGTACTAAAATTATTAATGTATATTAATTTTTACCCACCCCTGAAATACTACTTTACTGTGTACTAAATGTCCTAAAAATACAATTATATACAAAACAATAATACATTTGAAGCATTTCGTAATAGTTGTTTTGAACCAAACATAGTGCAAAATAGGTATAATCTGCCGCTAGAGCGCCTGTTTAGTACATTATTATATTAATATAAACTGTATATAAGTAACTGACAGTGCAGTCAGCTTAACATGCATAAAAAAATTGTTACAATATTGGTATACATATAGCGTTTGATATTGCTTTTTATGCTTACATTTATAATTAAGAATTAGTATTATTGTGAATGGTTATTGTGAACTTTATTTAAACCTTAACTCATTAATAAATTTGAGAAGTTAAAAAGCATAATAAAATTAATTGATTGTTTAATCTAGGTCTACATAGCGTGTCGCGATATGGCTAAAGCCGAAACAGCCGTACAGGACATAAAGGCCGGTAATCCCGGGGCCGACATAACAGCTGTTAAGCTGGACTTGTCGTCACTCGCGTCTGTGCGTGAGTTCGCTGTAGAGATGGGTCGCCGCGAGTCAGCCATCGATGTGTTGGTCAATAATGCGGGCGTTTTTATGTGTCCCGAATGGCAGACCGCAGACGGCTTTGAGATGCAGTTCGGC